TCTTGAAATCCAAGACTTGCCTGAGTTTCAGAAGTGATGTATCATCAACATAAAATCTGGGAATTTATAGCCTAGCCTGATAGCTAAAAATTATATGAAAACCTCTGTCAAACTCAGGAAAGTTCAGATGTAGATGGGAGACCAGAAATTATCTCTGGTATATACTGTGTATAAGCATAGCATAGCATGGCTGAAATGAAATTATGCAATTACAGCAAATGAGAGAAAGGGTGGTTTACTGGTTGAGACTGAAGAGCAAAGTCTGTCTTATATGGCTCACCATGCTGACATGATTAGGCATGTCTGTTTCCGCAGCCAACAGTACACAACGGACTGATGATGCAGCTACCATCATGTCTAACCAACTTTGACTTCCCTAACCTTATGGAACAGGTACCCATTCTGCAGCTAGGTGAGCAGGAGGTAACCTTTCAGTGTGAGACTGAGCAAGACGAATCCATGACTGCTGTGATTGCAGTCGAGTGCCTTAACCAGTCAGCTACCGCTCCTTGTGAAATTTGTGCTACCCGGGTTTAATTCTCAGCTTAATTATTGAACTGCCACTTGCCCTTGGACAGTCACCTCTCTTTCCCCTCCAACCTTTTTGTTTTGTTTATTTAGATTGGGGCCCTGATCTTGGTGGAGTCTACTAGATACTACTGCAATACAAACAATAAATAAGAAGAGAAAATGGGCCTTAATCAACACCCAAGCTTTGAATGCCCCAAAATTTGGACTAGGGCTCAGAATTCACTTCAGATCTGAATTTTGCTTTTCAGATCTACCTCCAGTAATGATAAAGTCTTTAGTGGATATCTGTAGAGGGATGATAGAGCCTTCCATCCATGCCCCAGACTGACCTATTATATCTTTGCAGTAATCTAAGTCCTCATTTTAAAAAACTGTTTATGCACCTAAAGTGATATAGCAAAAGGGGCATATGGGGTGCATATAGTGTTCAGTTACCAATTTTGAACGCACTAAAACTGGATTTAAATGTGCCAGATTTTCAGTTTTTGTTTGTAAATCTAAATTGGGGGGGGGGGGGCACAAAAATGTGAGTGGTATTGTCAGCTCCAAAATGGCAGCATGCAAATTCAGAGGCAGGATTGCAGTCCACTTTGAAACGTGGCGCTGATGCAATTCAAATACATTATAAATCAGTTTTGCAACCCCCAACAATCCGAGGTGAGGTATTTTAAAGATCAAAATCAAAACCAGCCTAGATTAACTGTTCCTAAACTCACACAGTAACTGACCTATCAGAGAGCTATCAGCATGCTTGATACCTTGTGGAATATTCAGGCATTCACACCCTCTGACTGGCAGAACATTTCTTATTGCTTTAAAATTACCTTCATTAGCTGGACTTGTCCTTAACTATGACTGTACAAGGGTCAGATTGCAGCTTGGCTGAGAGTGAGTTTTTAAAAGGGTCACGTTAAACTCTTCAGACTCAGTTTGGCGGTTGAATGCTATGGAAGGTAAAGGAATCACCAAAGATGGGAGCTTTATTTATACTGCAATTGGCCAAGTGATTAATGTAAATTTACAGAAAAAATGATAACTGTGATGAAATATGTGATGAGCACCACATAAAGAACTAAGTAACAAGATAGATGCAATTGTAGCCAAGATCAAATAAAACAAGATTGTACCAAGCAGGAATATTTCTCCAGTTAATAACACGGTATAAAGGAAAGAAAAGACTAACATTGATTTTCCCTCTTTTTTTTTTTTTTTGGCCACTCTTTCTGTCTGAAATAGACAAAATTGTAATGCCCTCTTCCACTCCCGCAATGGATTCCTTTATTCATTTCTGAATTAACCATTGCTACATTAACCCCATTTGCCAATTGTATATAAAGTACAAAGAAGCTTGAAGATTCGGAATTAATTCATAGGCTTCCCTCATGTAAAAAGAAAATTATAATAGCTAACAAAAAAGTAGGGTTAACTCAAAAGTTGGTTGAAATTGTTCGATTAATGGCAAATTTTGATGACAAATGGTATTTCAAAGAAAGCAAAAATGTTTTACAAAACAACACTAGTTTCCTTGAAATTTCCTATTTTTGACAAAAGTTTTAATTTTCATTGGGAAAAATACTTTCTCTTGCTTTTTTACTTCTCCTCCCAGTTTCCAAAGGAGAATAGAAGAAAAGCAAGAGAAAATAGTTTCTTTTCCCTCATGAAAATAAAAAAATACAATTCTTGAAAAAAGTCCAAATAGTTCATTTTGAAATTGTTCATTAAAAATCATGTAAACCTTTGAAATAAATGAAAAATGTTCATTTCCTTTGAAATTTTTCATGACATATACTCACCTTTTGGCTAACTAGCTCCACTTAACTTATTGCCCACTTATTATTAGTTTGTGGGTACAACTTATCTTTGATAAGCTGTATAAAGGAAATACTAATTTTACGGGAAAGCCAAATTTCAAGAGGTGCTTCTGATATTGCCACAGTATTTGACAAGTGTCCAATTCTACTAGCTTAACCCAGAAGAACCGACAATTTCACTGAGCTCCTTTGAACATAACCTTTTATCCATAGCTACTGTAATTATACAAACACAAAACTATGATTATTTTAAATGTTAAGGAAACATTTAGACTAACACCCTCTACCACTGCCATACTGGAACAGACCAATCTTCCTGCTAGTCTGGTATCCTCTCTCTTAGAATCACTAATGTTATATATTTCAAAGGAAAGTGTACGCCACCCAAATATAGTGCATTAATATATTCCACAAAGGAAATAAGTTCCTGTTCTCAGCTCATGATCATTTTATGCCTTGAAATTTGAGGACTGAGAGCCCTTAGCTAGGATTTAAAAAAAAAGATAAGTATAATTACACATTCCATTTTTAAATATACCTTTATATCTTACTTATATTTTAAAATAAACCCGTAATCACTATTGGCTTCTATAATATCTTGCAGTAGTGAGTTCCACAGGTTAATTATAAATCACAAAAAGACCTAGAATTTCCTGTTCTCCATTTTAAATTTGCTGCCATTTAATTTCATTAAGTGATGCATAGATTTTAGAAAGAGGCTTAAGGGCCTGATTCTGCTTTCATTTACCCCAGGGTAAATCAGGAGTGACTCCACTGAAGTAACTGGATTTATACCAGTGTAAGGATGATCAGACTCTTGTAAACTCAGAATAAGGCCCTAAATTCATTAGAATATATATATTGAAGACCTGCTCCTGCTCCAACTAAAGTGTAGAGCCAAATTTCCATTGGTTTCAGTGGGGCAAACTAGGGTCCTAAAAAAATGTATATAGATTTAATTTGAACTAATTCCCTGTTTTTTATAAATACTATCTAAAGTGAGAATATTTCTTTATTTTAATACTTTGTAAAAATATTGCTAAAACAGATTGGGAAGTCATGCATCCTGAATGCTGTTGGTTTAGAATACATTTTCATGCATAGAGATTTCACCTCTCTTTTTAAAACTATTCTTACAAACAGTAGAAGAGGCTACTTACCAAAGACAAACAAGCTAATTTCAAAACAGCTAGTTCCCGAGAGAGCCAGTTACTTATTAACAATAAGGCAAATAGCCCAATACCAACCTAGATAGCCTTCGCCTTTAGAAAAAACAGAGCCTGTAATTTTTACCTAATGAAACACCACAACAATACAGGGTTTTATGTCACAGTTACAATGGATTTGGGGACAATTTGTACAATAGATAAAAAATGTATCTTGTTGTTCAAGAAAGCGTGTGCCAGGGCAAAACATGTTTACTGACGACATAGTATCAAATGGAAACCGTTCAGTGAAAATAACATGAAATCTGATATACTCAATTTTGAGCTGCCAAACTTTTCAAAAGTTCTTTTCCAAAGGATGAACTTTTCTTGAGACCAGTTGACAATTCTAATTTTCTTTAGGCCTTTTCATTTTCTTTTGAACATAAGCTCTGAAATCCTTTGTGTCCCACATAAGCATGCATAATAACTTTGAGTTGCTGGCAAAACACATTTCAAAAGCTGTTGTTCCTGATTTCCTTTTGATGAAACCACTAATGAGGAAGTATAAGTGATGCAGTAAGAAATTAATCTTAACTAGAATAAACCTCTTGACATTTCACTTACTTAGACTATCCAGGCAGGCTGGACTATTCCCAATTTTATTTATGATGTTGGCCTTACATTGCATAATTTATAGTATCCTTCACCTCACATTTCAGGCGATGGACGATTAGTGTTTCTAGAAGAGCGTTTACTATTTAAAATGACATCAAACAAACTTCTGAATGCTCCAGTCCCAAATGCTGCTGTGCAACTTTCCTGGAGTTCTCTGGACAAGGCAGATATTTGCTAGGGTCAAGCGCACATTACAGTCATGTTCCTTGTGTGTTGAAAAGACTTGGGTCAAGCTTAGTAAATGAGCTGTAATTCCCAGGTAGGTGATCAGAACATTTGGATATTTACTAGCTAAAAACCTTCGAATAAGTGACCCCAGCTCACAGTGTATTTTGTGAGTAACAACATTGATGGCGCTTATAAGGATTAAATTGCTCAAACCATGTATATACACACTTGTCTTTTTTCCCTATTAGTATCGCCATATATTTGTGTCTATGTCATTTTAGGAGAACATTTTTTTCTTTGTGTGCGAAGTAATTTCCCTGCTCCTTAGATACAAAACAGAATGCATATTACAGAGCACCAGAGATATTGAAACTGTTCATAACAGGTTGCAAGCTCTTCTGGGCAGGGTCTTTACTTGCATCATACCTAGCACACTAGGGGGCTGAATAAATTATTAAAAAACAACCCCATGCATTTCAGTTTTGAAGGGAACGATCGTACTCTGGCCTGAACACAACCACAGCCACAACAAAGGCGGATAGTTCCTCGCCTTAAATATTACACCTTCCACCCTTTGCCCTGCACCTCCTATCTATCTTTTCTAGACGTCCAACTTTTTCAATAAGGTAACCGGGGTTATTTAAGAGGAACTGAGCAGAAATCTCACCCGTGTTAGTTGGCAGCACCCGCAGGTTTTCAAACTCCAGCATGGTGTAAGAGGAGTCCAGGGATTCGACATAATCTGGCATATCCATATCCATTATGGCTTGACAAAGCTTCATTATTACTTGTCAACAGCAACGGAACAGGCCAAAACAGCCCTGCTGTCAATCATGGCCAAGGTTTCCTTTGCAAAGAGAGACAACCCCAAGACCTTGGAGTGACAAATCATTACCTAGCTCCCCCACAGTCCCCTCCCAGTGCCAAGAGAAGGCTGGAGGGGAAGAGGTCCAGTCTTTACCTCTCTCTCTCTCTCTCTCTCTACCTGCGTGTCTGTGTCCTGTATCATGATTATATGACGCAGATAAGGCCTGGGCTAAATCAGCTTGGATTGCATCCTCGGTTCAACACCATGTGGTTTATGGCAATCCCTGTGTAAACATTTTGAAAAGTGTAGCAGTGAGGCATTCACACACTGAACTGTTCTTTCAGGACAAAGCTCTGGGTCATGTCACTTAGCACTCGGGTCACTTCAATGATACTTTTCTCTGCCATTTGCCATCTGCCCTTGTAAAAATGCCAGGTGGAGTCACTTGAGCCAGTGGGGGTGGGGGGCGAGGAGGAGGAGGAGGAGGAGGGGGAGGGGGGAGAATCAGTCCCACAGATGGCCAGAACACACAAGGCTTCACATGTGTGTAGTACTTGCTTCCTAATCCAAAACTCAGTGAAGCCAATGGGGGGGAGGGATAGCTCAGTGGTTTGAGCATTGGCCTGCTAAACCCAGGGTTATGAGTTCAATCCTTGAGGGGGCCACTTAGGGATCTGGGACAAAAATCAGTACTTGGTCCTGCTAGTGAAGGCAGGGGGCTGGACTCAATGACCTTTCAAGGTCCCTTCCAGCTCTATGAGATAGGTATATCTCCATATATCAAAAGACTTCCATTGACCTCAATGAGCTTTCAAACCTCTCTAGACAGGTGAATACTGCTAAATAAAAACAAACAGAACTCTCAGACTTTCATTCTGACCCCACCCACAAAGTCACATCTGTGATATTCACAATCTGTTTGCCACAAACATTTATATAGCCCCCATTACCACAGTATCTGAGCAGTGCCATACAGTCTTTCATGTATTTATACTCACATCACCCCTGTGAGGTACCGTGTTTCCCCAAAAGTAAGACATCCCCCCGAAAATAAGACCTACTTCCAGTTTTGCCTCTCGCTGTAATATAAGGCATCCCCCGAAAATAAGACCTCCCGGATAATAAGGCCACCCCGGAATATAAGGCCCCGAAGCTCCAGGAAAAATAAGACCTCCCCTGAAAATAAGACCTAGCGCATCTTTGGGAGCAAAAATTAATATAAGACACTGTCTTATTTTCGGGGAAACAGGGTAGAAGGAACCTTTTATAGATGCTACATTTGACAGATGGGGAACTGAGACAGAGAGACTAAGGCCCAGATCCTCAAAAGGTAGTTAGTTGCCTAACTCCCATTGATTTCAATGCAAATTAGACATATAAATACCTTTGATGATTTGTACCTATGTGACTTGCCCAAGCTCACACAGGAAATCCACAGCAGCAGTCCCAGGCTAGTGCCCGAACCATTGAACCATCCTTCCTTCCCATTCATGAATATTCATGGAAGTGATGTATTCTTGTTTGGAAGGATGTCTGCAGAAAATGAAGTCTTGCAAATACTCATGCATATATGTGTTTGCATGAAGAGTCACGCCAGAAGTCATCACACAGAAAGCTTGAAATCACCTTAATTTCCCCCTTCCTTTTTAATAAAAGTTTCATTTATCCAATTAGGTATTACAAACAACGCTATGCGAGATTTAGCTGACCAATCACACACCAGGAATAACAAAGCGCAAGCCATGAAGAAGTGTCGTGGATGCAAATAGTTTGCAAACAAACCTAAAACAGGGAGAGCTGTTCATATACAATATTTGAACAATGAGCAAATTCATAATAATCTAAGTCTGTTCATGGATAACTTGCAAACAGAAGAAAGGACTAAATTCATTGAATATATTAGGCGTTTTGTCCATTTCTAATTGCAACTTGCATTCAAATGCTGTCCCACAAATTATAGCCCTAAACCTGCCATCAGTAATAGAAATGTTGCCAATATAAAAAGAGCAGGATCAGGAGATGTTGTGTACAATTGCATATATGGAACTTGACCCACCACTGAAGTGCTGCCAGCTCTGAGGTAACCATGGCAACTAATTAACAGTAGACAGCTCAGTTTAGAATGGGAGTGAAGATGAGCCCTGCTCCCAGTTGTAACTACAGAGGACTTCAAGTATCAGAGGGGTAGCCGTGTTAGTCTGGATCTGTAAAAAGCGACAAAGAGTCCTGTGGCACCTTACAGACTAACAGACGTATTGGAGCATAAGCTTTCGTGGGCGAATACCCACTTCGTCAGACACAAAGCTTATGCTCCAATATGTCTGTTAGTCTATAAGGTGCCACAGGACTCTTTGTCACTTTTTACAGCGGACTTGTAAGGTAGGCAGATGTAATTAACCAATTCAGAATTTGGGCAGGACACTGGAGTTGATATCACTAGTCTTGTGCCAGGGGATAATTAATGTCCACAAGTGCATTGATAAATGAAACCCGTGATAGAAAAATGAACAACATTGACAATAGTCAAGACCTTAGTTTTAATTCTCATCCAATACTTCTGTCATCATATTGCCCCTAACAACATGGAGGCATTGGTTCAGTACTGACCCAATGGGAGACGGTTACATCTCCTGAATCACCAACATCTGCTACCTACAGTATCTCTGTTCTTCTCCCACCTATTGTCCAGGCTCAATCTTTCAGTGTTCATGAGACCATGGTCTAAGTTGTTGTTGATAAAGGCCCAGATGGCAGAAGGTACCAATCAAAGTGAAGTGTTGAAACTATTAAAATAGTTGGAAGCGGCATGCCAGTGTTCTGTACAGTCTTTTGATATTGCATTTGTTGTTTGGTTATGGACAGTTCAAAATCATGCCAATATAAACATTTGCTTCTCAATAACAGTCTGTGTTTTGAAGTCAGGCAATATTCCAATTTCTCCTGTCGAGTTCCAAGTGCTCCATGTTTTCTTTTCTTTTTATTTCAGAGTTTTGCATAGAATCTCAAGATTTTTCATTATTAAGATTGAGGAGTTGGGAGCAAGAAGACTGGAAATGAAACTCTCACGTGCAGTGGTGTCTCTTACTAATGCAGTATATACCTTTATATGTTTGGAATGCAGGAGCTATCACCATCCAGGTGCCTTGACATCTTCCCTCACTTTACAACTCCATCCTCAAGGACATTGGGGGGGGGAGGGAGAGCTCAGTGGTTTGAGCATTGGCCTGCTAAACCCAGGGTTATGAGCTCAATCCTTGAAGGGGCCATCTGGGGCAAAAATCAGTACTTGGTCCTGCTAGTGAAGGCAGGGGGCTGGACTCAATGACCTTTCAAGGTCCCTTCCAGTTCTATGAGATAGGTATATCTCAATATATCATATTATTGCTTGTGTTTCAGAGACTCCTTCCTACACAGGCATTCTACGGGATCCAGTTTGACATCCTGTTGAATTTGGAGGAGAGAAGGGTCTTGAGGAACAGGCAGAGGCTTTTCCAAAAGGAAGACTCGTGGCCAAGATTAGAGGTTGCCAAATAGTCTGAACTCTGAATGAACCCATAATTAGTGGAGCACAATGTAATCTAGCAAACCCTGTAATACAACTGACAAGAAAGGTGCCAAAATCAGGTTTTGAAAAATCTTAGATTCACTCTCTTTGACCTCATTTACTCAAGTCAAATTTACCTTTCAGGCAGCAAGGATTTCCCCCATGTATCAGGGAGGTATCGTAGACTTTGCAAAGTGTTAACCGTAGATGGGATTTTCCTAGATTTCTAACTCTTTCTCTTTCTCTCTCTCTCTCTCTTTTTTTTTTTTTTTTTTAAGAATACGTTGTAACTAATCCCACACAAATGACTCCCCGCTTAGATAAGATTTATTTTTTTATCCTTGGACTGTGCCCCAAGGCGCAAAGTAATGCCAACATCAGCTAAATTAGCATCTGATTAGTCATTCTTGCATCTTACTCAAAACCAGCCTTGACTAGTTCTATTAATCTGGCACATCTTTGTAAGATGCAGGCTGGACCCAATCCTGCAAGGTTCTGAGCACCCCTTTCAAGGAGAGCCAAGCGTACACAGCATCTCTCTGGGACCCCTCAGCACCTTGCAGGATCAGGCTATATTAGAAGGTCAATAACAGAAGATTAGCCTGGCTCCGAAAAGCATTCAGGGAAGGAAATAGATCTTACTAATCTCATTTTATTTGCTTCATAAAAGCAAAACTCACAGATATGGGAGGGGACTATGGGGCTGTTATGTTGATGACCCCTTTTTTTATATGATTTTATGAGAAAATATTTGTTGTAGACATGCAAGTTCTCAGAGCAGAAACAAGCTTCGCCCGCCCCCTCCACCTCCCAGGACATCACTGTTTTATTTCTTATATAGGAGTTCAGTCTTTAAAACAAGACTGGTTTCAGAGTAGCAGCCGTGTTAGTCTGTATCCGCAAAAAGAACAGGAGTACTTGTGGCACCTTAGAGACTAACAAATTTATTATAGCATAAGCTTTCGTGGGCTACAACCCACTTCTTCGGAAGTTGAAGTATCTTGGATCGAATTACCTGGGGTCCAGACGGCGCAGGATCGACGGCCGCGGCTCCCCCATCGACTGCGCTACCGCCGCTCGCGCTGGTGGAGTTCCGGAGTATACGGTGAGCGCATTCGGGGATCGATTGCTACCCGCCGATACGGCGGGTAGTGAAGACGTACCCAAAGAGAGATTCAGGGTCAGTTTGTCACTTTTCACCATCACTCTTGACCTGAACAGCCAATGGCTCAGGCCCAACCTGTCAACACCTTTTCCATGCTGGTGAGCAGCTATTCACTGGAAACGTCCCACTGATTTGTCATTGTTTTCCCACCTCCTCTCTACTGTGCTGTTACTGCCCCTTGTTGCGTCACAGCTGCAGTTAGATTTTTAAGTTCTTCAGCGTGGGCAACAAGTCTTCTTATCGGCACTGGAAGGGGCCTGCCTCACTTTTAGGCACCATAATACATAACAAATACTGCCATAGTAGTAAAGCAAAAGTCTGTCCTAGTAGAGACCAGGAGGATCTGTAACTGCTTTCCCAGTTACCTTCTCAAGAATCCCACCTGAAGAAGCAGACTAGAAAGAT